TCCTTAATTTTGATGTGTGTTAGTGCAGATTGTGATATTCTGGATATATATTCAAGAGGGAGCTAATGGATTAGGTTGTGCAGTATGAGAAAAAGAATAATGGAAGTTTCTTCATGGTCTCTCTGCCTTTATTCTGCCCTCCTTCATCCCTCAATAATTTCTGAAGATTCTTTGTTGCACAATGAAGGCAAAGTAGTCCATCAGGATATAAATGGCAGGAGGTGAAAAGTGGAATAGACTGATACATCTCTGTAAGTTATATAGTCCATCTTCGATTAAGTGTAACACTGAATGATTTAATCTAAGGATGCCTACATGGATTACCTACTTTGATATTTACAACATACCCACCAGCTATTATATTCATTTTACAGATGGTGAAAAAGTATTAGAGAGACCACTGACTAAAAATGTTCAAATGTCTTGGGTCCTAGTATCATGAACTTCCTAGGGTATCTTGCTGCCTCCCTACTCAGAGGGCAAGGTAACTAGATGGCTATTATTGACAGGAAAGAAAGTTAGCAGAGTCTGATTGTGAAAAGCAAGGGCTTCTAGTTCCAGCCAAGATGAAGGTGTAGGTAGAAATCCTTCGCTTCCTCGTACAACCAAAAGGAGGATAACAACCAATCTAAAAACAGTATGCAACCGGAAGTGCCAGAAAATCAAAATGCATGGAACTCCGACAACCAAGGAATTAAAGAAACAGTCAACCAGACCAACCAGACTGGGCAGACAGAAAGAAACCACGGCAAGGCAGTGGACCATGTGGGCAGGGCTTCCTAAAAGGACCCACAGCAAGGTGGGGCTGGCTGAATGGGAAGCAGACTCAGAGCTGATGGGGACTACAGCAGGGAGTTGCCACAGTGGAGAAACTCCCAGTCTCACATGAGAATCTGTTGGAAAGTGGGGCTAGAACCAAGCAGCTGAGCTGCATTATTCCCTCTCTGGCTCCTCCCCCACAAACAGCGCTGCAGCGCAGCAAAGAGGGTTGCCCTACCCAGGTGAATACCAAAGGCCCCGCCCCCTTAAAACCTAACAGGTGTGCCAAGTCAAAGAAATATGGCCCAAATGAAAGAACAGAGCAAAACTCCAGAAAGAGAGCTTAGCAACAAGGAGAGAGCCAACCTATTTGATGGAGAGTTTAAAGCCCTGGTAATGAAAATGCTCACAGAACTGATTGAGCTTAGTTAAAAAATGAAAGAACAAATGAAAGATACCCAAAGTGAAATAAAGCAAAATATTCAGGGAACCAACAGTAACAGGAAGGAAACCAGGACTCAAAGCAATGACTTGGAACAAAAGGAAGAAATAAACATCCAACCAGAACAGAATGAAGAAACAAGAATTCAAAACAATTAAGAGAGGCTTAGGAACCTCTGTGACAACTTTAAACATTCCAGTATCTGAATTATAGGGGTGCCAGAAGGAGAAGAACAAGAGCAAGAAATTGAAAACTTATTTGAAAAAATGAAGGAAAACTTCCCCAATCTGGCAAAGGAAATAGACTTCCAAGAAGTCCAGGAAGCCCAGAGAGTCCCAAAGAAGATGGGCCCAGAGAGGAACACAGGAAGGCACAACATCATTAAGTTACCCAAGATTAAAGATAATCTTAAAAGCAACAAACAAAAAGGAGACAGTTACCTACAAAGGAGTGCCCATAAGACTATCGGCTGATTTCTCAAAAGAAACCTTGCAGGCAAGAAGGGACTGGAAAGAAGTATTTGAAGTCATAAATGGCAAGGACCTACATCCAAGATTACTCTATCCAGCAAAGCTATCATTTAGAATGGAAGGGCAGATAAAGTGCTTCCCAGACAAGGTCAAGTTGAAGGAGTTCATCATCACCAAGCCCTTATTATATGAAATGTTAAAGGGACGTATCTAAGAAATTGAAGATCAAAAACTATGAACAATAAAATGACAACAACTCACAACTATCAACAATTGAACAACAATAAAAAAGAAAAACAATGAAAACAAAAGCTAAGCGAACTAGAACAGGAACAGAATCAGAGAAATGGAGATCACATGGAGGGTTTTCAGTAGGGAAGAGGGGAGGAATGGGGGGAAAGGCACAGGGAATAAGAAGCATAATTGGTAGGCATAAAATAGATGGGGAGAGGTTAAGAATGGTATAGGAAACAGAGAATTCAAAGAATTTATATGTACAACCCATGGACATGAACTAAGGTGGGAGAAATGCAGGAAGGCTGGGAGGTGCAGGGCGGAGGGGGGATAAAAGGGGAAAAATTGGGAAAGCTGTAATAGCATAAGCAATACAATATATTTTTTTAAAAAGATTCATTGTATTCCAATTAACCTACAGAAAAAAAAAAACAGATATCTGTAAGTATCCAATGTCTGCTATTTCCCACCTCTGCTCAGAGATCAATAACTAAATTCAAAATATGTAAACCTTAGGAGAAGGAAGGGGATAAAAATGGATGCTTTCCCAAAACAGATATATTCATTAAGAACAAAGTTCTCAACTCTGGCTACTAGTTAAAATCAACTAAGAAAAAAAAAGAAAAGAAAAGAAAAGCAAGGGCTTCTCTGTTAGCGCTATTCATTATCTCCTCAGCCACCTAGAAACTTCTTTAGTACGCCCTTAAGTTCTTCATTCCGCAGGCTATAGATGGGAACAGAGCGTGGATCTGACTATAAGAACAGGATAAGGATAAGGAACTTGGTCTGATTAAGAAAATACTGTGCTTAGGCCAGATTTAAACAGATGTGACTGTGCTAAAGAGTAGTCCACCACCACCTAGAAATTTCAGGTTCCAAAGCCTTTGCTTCTCTCTGCCCTTAGTTGTACAGTTCCTCAGCTAGCTTTGGCAATGTGGCCACAGGTGACTAGGGGAAGCCCACAGAGACCAAAAAAATGACTGTGGTCACTAAGACCTTGAACTTCTTGAAACAGGCCAGGTTATGCTACAAAAACACACAACACCAACATCTCTGTGCTTAAACACAAAGTTCACTCATTCCTATGAAGCCAGTTGCAGGTCTTGGGACTCTCCAAAACAGCTGTCCTGCCAAGTGGTGGACACAGCATTCCAGAATGGTTTGATCTCATGGCTCCTCTCTCTGTATGTGCTTCCACGACTGAGGCAGGGAGACAGCACTAGAGTCCCGTACCAACAGATAAATGCTTCAGACCAGAAGTGAGACTTCTCCTTACAACCCATTGACCAAAATGACCTGGTGACCCTGTCTAACTGTAAGGAGCAGAACATAATCATTCTCATTTTTACTGTTCACCAGAATACAAGCTGCACGAGGGTATGAGTTGTTGTTTTTTTTCCTCGTTTACTACTATATCCTTGGTCTAGAACAGCAGTGCCTGGGCCCTCATCAAATTAAATGAATGAATAGTGATAAGGCACTTGGTCTGATTAAGAAAGTACTGTTCTTAGACTAGAAAAACATACTAGGCCCTCATCAAATCAAATGAATGAAGAGTGCCAGGAAAAAATCCACATGCATCTTGGGAGAAGAGGCAGAGTCCCAGGAATCTAAGGCTGAGGCTGTTGGGTAAGAGCTATGCAGGCTAGAGATTCACAGCTGGCATTGATCACATCAGCATAACCCTCACCACCAGGGCTCAGCTCCTGAAAGGAGCTGCAAGAGCCACAGATACATCTGCTCCTTAAATGTAGTGTCTGCCCAACCTATCTGGGGAGCAGGGAAAAGTGAAAGAAATGCACGTTGACTGACATCTACTATATCTATTATTGCTTTTCTTTCATCAATCCCTGCAATCTCCACATCAACTGAGGTGACTGTGTTCTCTATTTCATAGAAATTGGAGACTTAAGAGTGTTTCAGTAACCAATCAAAAAACAGGAATGTTTCATAAGCTAGAAATAAATACAGTACCGTCTAACTCCCAAACATGACTCTTTCCTTATTCTTAAAAACAAACAAAAGCCAGCCCTGGCCAGGTGGGTCAGTTGGTTGGAGAGTCAAAAGGTCACAGGTTCAATTCTCAGTCAGGGCACGTACCTAGGTTGTAGGTTTGATCCCCAGTTGGGATGCATAAAGGAAACAACCCATCAGTGTTTCTCTCTTGCCCCCCACCCTGTCCTCTCTCTCTCAAATCAATAAACATATCCTTGGGTAAGAATTCTTTTAAAAGCCAAATTAATAAGGAAACAACAAAACCCTGAGAAGTTGATCCTGAACTCCAATTAATTTTCTTTTGGGCCTTGGGAAAGTGCTTTTATGACTGTTTTATGACTTTGTGAGGGAAGGAAACAGTTTGTGTTATTGCAGAAAATTCTTCTTTACATCTAATACATATTCCATGGCTAAAAATTCCAACCTGTTTCCATATGATCTCATTAGAAATGTTTTCCTTTTTCAAACACCACCAATAAGAGGCATAAGATATTATTAGTTATCTGGTAGATTCCCTACTGGTGAAGTAAATGTGATTTCATTACAGAAAAATTGTGCTAATAGGACTCAAAAGCTAAGTAGCTAAAAAGTTCAAGAAGGAACTCACATGATGTCCAATGACAGGAGAGAGCAAGAAAATCCAATCTGGTTCTTGGAAAACTTTACATTAGACTTCATCTTTATCCTATGATACTACTGAAATTGATAATACCACTACCCTGAAGAAATAGTGTGCAATAAAATAAGGATGTTATTTTGTCTCAAGAGACCATGCTACAGATTTTTTCCTCATTCAGAATGTTCTTTAAACACTTTTTGCTAGGAAACTCCCTGAAGGTTTAAGTAAAAACAGTAAATAATATGACTACTAACACATTCCCTGCAGAGTCCAGCTTGATTCCTTTCTGTGAAACATTTATATACCCGAATTTTCCACTGATGAAAAAGTCTTCACGCTTCATAAATTTGCATTTTTCATAAAATGCAAGTTTAGGGTCAAGCTCCACTTGGTAAAATTCTTCAGACTGAGGACACTGGACAATGGAATTTCTGGTGTGTAAAGTTTGAATACATGCTGAAAATTCTTGTGCGTAGGCTACAAGTGGGTTCTCCGGTGTTTAATAAGGTGGGAGTTCTGACTGAATTTTTTTCCACATTCATAACATGTAAAAGGCTTCTCTCCAGTGTGAGTTCTTTGGTGTGTGTGGAGATTTGAAGTTTGACCGAAGCTCTTCCCACACCATGAGCATTTATATGGTTTTAATCCTTGATGTGATGTGAAGTGCTTATTAAGATCTGAACTCCATCTAAACCTCTTATCACACTGTGGGCATTTATATGGCTTCTCTTCAGTGTGAATTCTTTGGTGCTTAATAAGGTCAGAGCTAACTCTGAAGCTTTTCCCACATTCCTGACATTTAAAAGACTTCTCTGCTGCACGTTCTTTCTTGTGACGATCCATAAGTGTCAGCAGCTCTTGTCTCCAGGCTGAAAGTTTCTCTCTTTCCTTCACTGAAAAATCTTGGTGCCATTTCCCCACCCTGTGCATTTCACCATGATTTTCTCTGATTGTTGTTTTCTGGGGAACTTTTATTCTGTTCATTTTTGAAACTAAGTCTCCTGGTGTTTGCATTTCTAAGTCAGGAAGGCACATAGATTGATGATTCTCCGCATCATTTTTGAGCTTTAATCCTGTTAAAATAATCATAAAAATCAACCAACTATAAGACAGAGCAAGAAAACCTCAGGAATAGAGACAAAAATTCAATGGTCACTTGATTTTAAAATATAGATAAATAGAATCTTTAAGTTCTTGCAAAGGTTCCTATTAAGGCACATTTCTCCTGTTCCTGTAAAGGCGCACATGTACTTACCTACAGGCAGCTCTCCAGGACTGTTCAGGAACTCCATGGATCCTTGAACCCAGGACTCTTTTCCTTGCTCTAGAAAGATCACTTTGGGTTTGAGGTGTACAAACATGGCAGTGAAATGAAAAAACTGAGGTCAAGGATTGCTAACTTAACAAAGTCCACTAGTTACGGACTATTTCAGGAACACCAAGGAACACTTTTACAGTTTGTTACTGTAAATGGTTAAATGGATAGACTCATACAACAGGTATCAGCTTTACATTATACTGCATTTGTAAGTGAATATGCAAAGTGGAGATTAAGAAATAAACCAAGCTTGCATTGACTGGGAGGGTCAGTTGGTTGAGTATTGTCCTGTGCACCAGGGTGTTATGAATTTGATTGCCAGTCAGGGCATATGCCTGGATTTCGGATTTGATTCCCAGTCAGGGTGCATGCAAGGGGTGACCAATTGATGTTTCTCTCTCTCTCTCTTTCCCTTTCTCTCTCTCTAAAAATCAATAAATGTACACTTGAGTGAGGAAAAATAAGAAATAAACCTAGCTTGATCAATGAAAAGGACATAGGGCATGGGAATCTTGTGCATACCTCCCCATCTTCTGCCACCAATAACCCCACACTTGACCAAGTTGGAATAAAACTCCAGAGGATGCAGGCAATACAGGCTGGTCCTATTAACTCTTTAGGACTCACCCTGAATAAGACCTGGTTAGTAGCACCAATGTGGAGGTCAGTGGGTAGGGAATCATATAAATAAGTGATTCCTGTCATAATTATACTAACTTTTTATTTAGCAGCTGAGCACACCAGACACTAGACTGACTAGTATTTGTATCACTTCCATAGCTCATTGCTTCACATCCTGTTGGATGAAACAGACCAGAATCACTTAGTGGACTTTTTGTAACTACAAATTAGCAAATATGGGACGTATTCATCATTCAGTGTTCCAACATGTGAAGTGAGTGTCTATGGTGTGCCAGACACTCTCTGAACTAGGGATATAGTGATGCATCCCTGCATCTCAGAGAACTTACCTTCTAGTGGAACACTGAGACAATCAAACATCAATAATCAAATGAAATGTCGAGAAGAAACTAAAGCAGGGTAAGAAAGCATTTAAGATTCTGCCTCTCTGAAGCTATCTGAGATAAGGCTGTGTGGAAGGCCTCTTTGAGAATGTGGTATTTGAGCAGACCTAAAAGTGAGAGTTTTTCCATGTGGCAGAAAAGTGTGCCAGGTAGAGGGAAGCAGAAAATAGAAATAAGCATGGCAACTTCCAACAACGGCAATAAGACTGCTGTGGCCAGAGAGAACCAAGGCACTAGTGTCAGGAGTTGAAGGCAAAGAGGTAATAAAGGCCAGATCTTGAGGGTTTTGAGAGCCTTGGTAAACAGGGTTGATTTTATTCTGAATGGATGAGAAGTCATCATAAGGTTTTGAAACAAGGGAATGTTATGATTTGGTCAGGTTTTAAAAGACTCTGGCTGCTATGTAGAAAATAAACTATGGGAAGGCAAGACTGATGGCAGGAAGGGCCAGTTAGAAAGCTACTGAAGTAGACCTGGTTAGAGATGGCTTAGGCTTGGATATTAACAGCACAAAAGGATGAGACATGGCTGGACTCAGACTATACTGTGAGTGTGGAATCCAAAGGACTAGTGATGCGTTAGTACTGGGATATGACGGCACGAACAGAGTAAATGTTATTTTTCTTGCTGAGCAGCTGGGTGAATTGAAGTGCCCTTTACTGAGTAGAGAAAGATATGAGAAGAGCAGGTCTGAGGGGGAGGAGGGAAAAGAGATCAAGAATTTTGTGCAGCATAAGGAATGCGTACTTGCAAAAAGCTCCCAAGTGATCTGCATTCACCTTTCCCCTACCCACACCATCAAGTTGTGAACCAACGAGCTACTGAAATAGACTTTCTCACAGCAGTGCATTCCCAGTAAGTAAGACACATGACAGATTACTCAACTTCTACACAAAGGGAAGGGGAGAACCTTTACCTAAAAAGATGACAGTCTCATAGTTTTCCTGCATTACATCACTGTAGAGAGCCTTCTGATTGGGATCCAGTAACTCCCATTCTTCCTGGGAAAAATACACGGCCACTTCTTCAAATGTCAACAAGCTCTAAGGAAGAGAATGGCTTTAGTTTAGTACTGGCCACTCCAGAAGCAGCCCTCACATCCAGCCCATGAACAGCATGGTAGGCCAAAGGAATTAACAGCACATTAAAATTTTTTTTAATTTATTGATTTTAGAAAGAGAGAGAGGGAGGGGGAAAGAGAGAAACATTGACTTGTTGTTCCACCTAGTTACGCACTCACTGGTTGCATCTTGTATGTGCCCTGACCAGGGACCAAACCCACAACCTTGGCATATTGGGATGACACTCTAACCAACTGAACTACTTTGGCCAAAGCCCAGCACGTGTTTTGTTTTGTTTTTTGTTTGTTTTCATTGAGAAGGGAAAAAAGAAGGAGGCAAGGAATCAGCAAACAGGCTGGGAGGTGTCCAGTTCCCCAGGGAGAACATCTGGGCTAACATGCCTGTGAGCACCTGCTGGGCAGTGTGTGTGGGTCCCAGGCAGCAGGGAAAGGCAGCCCAAAACAGCTCAAAAGCACAGCTCACCTGGGACTCAGGTAAGAAGAGCTCAGGCGCCACTGTCCAATCTTTGGTGTTTGTCTGCTCAGGAAAGTCTTGGATCTGGTGAACAGGCACTGCTATGGGTAGAAAAGAGCCATAAGAAATTTCTCTCACTTTTGCTCTGGCCGGGCAGTTCAGTTGCTTAAAAGCATCATCCTGATATGCCAAGATTGTGGGTTTGGTTTCTGGTCAGGGCACATATAAGAATTAACCAATGATGGTATAAATAAGTGAAAAAACATCTCAATCTCTCTCTCTCTCTCTCTCTCTCTCTCTCTCTCTCTCTCTGAAAATCAATGAATAAAAATTTAAAAGAAAAAAGAAATTTCTTTCACTTCTATGCACATCCTGAGCTCTTTTCTGAAATACAGATGATCTTAATTCTTCCAGTAGATGGGAAACCTTTACAAGTGTGTGCGGTGCCCATACATGGCCTTATCATTGGTAATAAGAACTGAGTATCTATCAACCCCCGGAACAGGTCCCCCAGCTTTCAAAAGAAAAATTAATAAAACAAAACCCCTTCTTATTTTCCTCTCATAACATAAATAGTCCTGAGTTAAAGAAAAATGCTACAGATTTGAAAATGAAATATTCACAAACTCCAGTGTAGAACAGATATATTATTCATCATTTATTGTTTTTCTCATCCATGATTTTAGAGAGAGAGGAAGGGAGAAGGGGGGAGAGGGGGGAGAGAGAGAGAGAGAGAGAGAGAGAGAGAGAGAGAGAAAGAGAGAGAGAAAGAAACATCAACTTGTTGTTCCACCTATTTATATATTCATTGGTTGCTTCTTGTATGTGCCCTGACCTGGGATTGAACCCACAACTTTGGCATATCAGGATAGCACTCTAACAAACTGAGCTACCCAGCCAGGGCTCCTTTCCACTTTTCTAAGGAACAATGTTCATGGTGTTATTTCCAGGGTCCTCTGGTTTGGGTATTTCTGTAGCTTAGGCCAACCCCCACCTTAACCCACAGCTGGTCTATTCTAGGGCTATCTGTGTGTGGGGACAGGGCTGCATTTGCACATCCACAAGGCTGGACATCCAGAAAATGCTCACAATGTTCTGGTTGAACAAATTACTATCACAGCTCCCAGCAGAGATGATCATGAAGCTCCTTACCCCTCTCACACACAGGCTCAGTTTCTTTAAGAGTATTACTGCTCAGCTGTTGTTGTAGATCCTCATATGTACTCCAAATTTCTTTATCCTGGGACCTGCCCACTGGCTGGGCCTCTGCTGGCTTCAGTTTGAAGCCTGAGGTCTCTGCTGTTTCTCCCAAGAGCACTGCCTCCTTTCCCAGCACATGGACTGCAACCTAGAAATAATTCCCAACCTTGTTACCAGAACTTACTTTAGGCTTGGGGGCTTGTGGTAGGAGGAAAAACAGAGAGTCCAGATTATGGGAAGTGTGAGACACTAAAGGGAATGACAAAGAGACTTGACAAAATGGGCCACCAATTTTCCACAAAATCTGGAAAATTTAGGATAAAAGAAAAAAAAGATGTGGCTACTGCCAGCCCTTCAACACAGCAGCCCCCACCCCTCTGCCCACCCCTTGGCCCAGTTGAGCCCACTAGCTGGGTGGTGCAGGCCGCCTCTTCGCATCCTGTCTTGACAGCCTTTCTCTCTTCACTTAGATCCCTGCTGCACTAATTTCTTGTCTTACAGTTTTTTAAAAAGATTAAAAAATTTGATTCTCCTATCAACTATATTTTTTCATGGTCAGGGAAGGCTTTTACTGAGAATGTGGATAAAATGGAGAAGAAAGGGGGAAGAAATATTCTGGCTCCAACTTCCCTCCAGATGATTTTGACACTTAACATGTATCCTGCCCTGTGTTCTACACAGGAGGCTGAAAGCCAGCTGAAGTGCTGCTCCCTGCCCAAAGGCATGCCAAGGATTCCCACTCACTAGCAGCGCCAAGGATCGTCCAGGGAGGATGCGGGACGGCAGCGGAGGCTCTTGACCATGGTGTGGAGGACACTATCCCTCAGCCATTCTGTTGGCATTTCCACATCTTTGTTTCTCTTTTTCCTTTCTCCTCATTATCTTCTCTCCCCTTTGTCTCTAAGTGTACTCCATTTTTTACTCTCCAACTCCTTGTTGTCCTTTATTTGTTTCTAATGACTTAGGACCCATCCCGTAGGTCAAGCCAGACTAGACTTATTACCTTCAACACACACTGCTCTAAAGAGAGAAAAAAACAACTCTTTCTCTAAGACCACAGAAGTCTCTGCCAGGGTCTATGGAATCTGTGGAATGACTATTGCTGTATGTCTGTGGTTTCTTGTCCTGCCTTAAATGGCCTAAAGAAACAATAGATCATTGACCTAACTCATCTTATTTCTCAATTAAGTGCCTCCACACACCACATATCCACCTTCATCCTATTTCATTGTTATGTATCAGGAATTTTTCTTCTCATCCCATTTCTCATTTGAGCAGATTTATGCTGCGAGTGGTCTACCAAGGCCACAACCTCCTCAATGCTCTGTAGGTGGTGCTTCTTTATCCAGGATTCAACATCCCCGGGCAGAATGGTCAGGAACTGCTGTAGTACCAGTACAGTTTCCAAGATCTACTCTTTTGAGTAGAACTCTGGCCTCAGTTGGCCAAGAGCCTCACAGGGTCCACCTGCTTCGTGATAGTGGAAGCTCTGGAAGTGCTGGCAAGAGCTCTTCTGTTGAGACTGACCACTTGTGCACTATATTTCTTACCCTGAGTGGAGCTCTCTGTCACAGGTCCCTTAGTCTCCCATAGAGCCCTGACCTAAGGATTCTAATACTCTGCCACCTTTAGACCTACCGTCATCATACTGCTCTGGAATAGTCTGCTCCTGTGTCGGACATACCACCAGCACTACCTTTGAGAACTGAGGCCCAGTCTGGTCTCGAACAAAAAGAATCTTCTTCCTAAGTCTCTGAGGGCAAAAAAGAAGTGCAGGTCAATAAGAAAGTCACGTGAACCTTACTACTTGCTACTTATTATAAAAAAGTGAAGAAAAAACATACTGCCTTGCCTTCCCTTTAACAATTAACCGCCAGGCCCCGACTCTCCTTTGTTTTAACTACCGCACAGTTCACTGAAGACAATTGCCAAGTGATGACGACTCCGCTTTAAAAAAAAAATTACAAAATGTTGGTAGGTGAGCCCTGGCTAGGCAGCTCAGTTAGAGTGTCCCCCCAATACCCAGTTAAGGAACATACAAGAATCAACCGATGATGCATAAATAAGTAGGACAAATTGATGTTTCTCTCAATCTCTCTCCCTTCCTCACAAAGAAAAGAAAAGAAAAGAAAAGAAAAGAAAAGAAAAGAAAAGAAAAGAAAAGAAAAGAAAAGAAAAGAAAAGAAAAGAAAAGAAAAGAAAAGCCTTGTTGCAAGGTGAGAAAACTGGCTCCCACTGGCTCCAGAGTTTGGGCATTATCCAAAGAGTTCACTGATGTATGTCCTATCTCATCTTCCCCATGTCAAAAGATTAGGAGAACACTGTGAGTTGTTCTTACATTTTAACTATCACCCTAGTCTTCTGTTTTTAGTAAGGGTACAACTTCTATGACCCTTCACCCTCTTGCGATAATGGAAGACTTCACTTCGTGGAACATTTGACACTCTCCTTTTCGTCTATCAATATGAGAGCTGAAACAGTGAGAACACAGTAGAACGAAAATAATTAGGGAAAAAGTAGGCTTTTCTTCTCATAAAGCATCCTTCAATTAAGTAACAAGATGTTCAACATTCTTTTTTGGCACTTCTTTGCAATACCTGTGAAGGGCACGATGCAGATTTATACCTGTATTTTAAATTTTCTCTTTACTTGAACTAGGAAAAATTACAGCTGACTTTTCCTTACAAAATGTTTATCCAAATATCAAATCGAGAGAGAGACAGAGAGAGAGACAGAGAATGAGAGTGAATGAGAATGAATGGGAATGGGAGCTGGTGATGATTAAGTTGACCCTTCTGACTTTACGTTTCAAGAATCTTTTAGACTTTTACTAAGGGAGGCTAAAGAGAGCCTCATGAGCCTCATTTGGCCATGGTATTCACAAATGGCCGGCTCCTTGCTGCCCACTGAGGTTCAAGAGGCCCGGAGACACGTCCTGTGCTTTTGCATCAGGAAACATGTGATCACTCCGACGCTTAACTGCGGTTCTCCGACAATTAACAACGGCCCAAGAAACAAACAAACACGCCAGCGGAGGCGGTAATGTGGATATTTCTTAAGGGCAACTGCGAGCCCAGGAGCTATCTGCACCAAGGGCAGAGAGACTAGCCTTCGGAGATGGAGGGCCAGCCTGGTCCCAGACAGTGTGGCCGCAGGCTCCGCCCATCGGCCACGAGAAATGGCCGGCACGCTTACTGCAACACCCAGCAGCTCAATCGGGATCCGAAGCCTACACCTAACAGGAACCAATTCTTGTTTACCTCGGACCGCTGGGTTTCTAATAGCCACACCCTCTTCCTAGGTCTCAACTGCAACTCTCCACCGCCCGAAGCTCTGGTATCCGAGAACGCCGCCCAGCTAGCCTATGAGCAAAGGGTCGGGGCGCAGGTCTACAAGCGGCTCTCGCCGCAGCAGGCCGTTACTACGTTCGTCCGGTGCCTGCGCTAATACTGGAAGCGAAAGTTGAGCGCTTCCGGCCAGGACGCGTGGGAGGGAACCGGCCTCCAGCCCCACTTCAGCCTGGCAGCTTAAGAGTTAATGCCATCGAGTTCCAAACCGCAGGCCTAGATTGGCCTCTAGGAGGCTTGGCAGTGGGTGTCACCCTCTCGCGGTCTTCCTCTGTGAGCCGTAAAGCATCAGAATCGTTTATGTGGAGTGCTCTGAAGGACGGGACTAGGACCTGATAATGACCTGGGGAGACAGGCAGTGGGGCAAGAACATTTCGAAGGGACATTTGTGCTGAGATGTAAGAGAGAAGGCGCTGGCTGTTGCTAGAGCGGAGAAGAGAGCACTGCAGCCCTAGGGCACAGCACACTCCAAGAGCCTCAGGTGGGGAGGACTTTGATGTTTGATAAAGAAAGGAGGGTTTGCGGTTAGAGTTCAGGATCAAGGAGAAAAATGGTATGAGAAAAGTGAGAGAGGAAGGCAGGGGCCAGGTCATGCAGGGCTTTTCAGGCTGCGAAAAGGAGTTTGGATTTTATTCTGTGTGCACTGGGAAGCCACGGAAGAGTATTAATAGGTATGGACACGATCTTACATTTTTAAAACATCTACTGGATTCCATAGAGAGAGAATGGATTAGAGGGTCCAGCAGGTGGGGCAAGATTTCGAATTAGTTAATAACACATAAATAGGGTGGAGATCCTGTGTGCTCTATTACTTCATAATCAGTTGTATTAATGTGAACATGTTTACCCTGACATTCTGCATTGGAGTTCTTCCTTGTACTTAAGACATTAACTGCTGCCCCACCACATCCAGCTTAATCGCATTCAGAATATATTTCTATTATTTTTGCCTTTCTTATGAAACTCTTTTGTTTTTACTTGTCTCAATTTTTAAGAAAAAATCTTAATTACAAATTATCTTAATTTAGGTGAAATTCACATAACATAAAGTTCGTCATGTTCAAGTGAACAATTAAGTGGCATTAAGTATTATCACATTGTTCCAAAACACTGTCATACCACCAAAGTAAATCCTGTACCCATTAAACAGTTGCTCCTTGTTTTCTATGGATTTGCTTATTCTGGACATTTCATAGAAATTGGAATCTTAAAATATTGGGTTGGCCAAAAAGTTCATTTGGTTTTTTCCGTACGATGGTGCTACTAGTGCTTAGTTGTCTTGAACTTAATTTGAAACAATTCTGTTAGATTGTATTGTGACAGCTGTCAAAGCAGCATGCATTTTTAAAAACTTATCAAAATTGATGAATTTTTGTGTAGCTATTTTAATATTGAAAATGGAAGAAAATTCTCGACATTTTCTGCATATTAATTATGCTTTCTTATTTCAAGACACAAGGACACAACTGAAATGCAAAAAAAAAGATTTGTGCAGTTGTATGGAGAAAGTGCTGTGACTGATCAAATATGTCAAAAGTGGTTTGTGAAGTTTCGTGCTAGAGATTTCTCACTGGACAATGTTCCATGGCCCAGTTAAAGTTGATAACGATCAAATTGAGACATTAATTGAGAACAATCAACAGGGAGATGATTGACATATTCAAAATATCCAAATCAATAAAAGTTATTGGTGAAAATGAAAAATGTAACTTTTATTTTACAGAAAAAAACTAAACAGAATTTTTGCCAACCCAATATGTGATCTTTTGTGTCTGGTCTCTTTCATTTTGATGCCTGTGAGACACTAGCAAAGGGGGTAGAAAACCAGGAATCACACAAAAGAGCTAGACTTGGCAGATGAAAAAGTAAGCAGGTACACTATGGATTTCTTAGGAAACCAGGACTTTCCAGTTTGTTTTCAGTGAGCCTCAGTTTTCTGAGAAACCTCAGGTATACAAGCAAAGCAGCCAGCTATAAAGGAAAGTGGCTAAGCTGTTCTGTGAGTGAGGCTTACACAGGACCCTGTAGCAGTATCAAATGTAGTTCAGAAGCCTCTAGGACAGTTGCTGTCGAGGAAAGCAAGGCTGTAGCCCAGATACCTGTGCCTTTCAAGAGAAGATGGAAAATCTGGTGGCCTCATAAGACTCCTCCAGTTCTCCTAGGAGCTTGGCAGACAAGGCTGCTAAGGTAAAGGGTCAAGCCAAAGCACATGAAAGTGAAATGAGGAGTGTGAGGACAGTGGAGGACTCAGCTAGAAATTGGACAGCAAGTAGCCATCCTGGAAATTGGGAGTTCTGGCACTTATAACCTGCTCCAGAGTCATTTAGTTGAGGACCTTTCTTCACATGTGTCCTGGTACTGATTACCTATTAGCAAATTTCTCTCCCAAACTGGGTCTTGTCTTCCAGCTACAAATTAAAGATGGCCCCTATTCTCTCATTGTTGCAGGTACGTTGGGATAAAAGCTATAGCAGATACCCAATGTAAAGCCACTCATTTGGCCAGGTGCTTGTTCTATGTAGAGGAGAATAGTACCTAACCTCATACACTGTCTGTAATCCAGGGTATTTGAGTTATGAAACTGGAAAGCCAAAACCACGTGTGTTACTGTCATACCCAGATTTTACCAACAGAACATAGAAGAATGGAGGTGCTGTTGGCCAGGGGAATGAGCTGTATTCTCTGCAGAAGGTGGGTAATGGCCTAGTGGGTGCTACTGTGTGAGTTCAAAAGGTTGACATTAGTCTGGGAATTAGGTTCCATTGTAGCTGCAGGGTAATGAAACAGAATAAGAATGATCAAGAGTGTGGGGGTAGACAGCGGCATAGGTAAACACACTTCACCTCCTCATGCAACCACAGAAAGAATTACAGCTGGACCTCAAAACAGATGATGCCCAGAACCATCAGAAAATCAAGCTGTATGGAAGTCTAACAACCAAGTATTTAAAGAAGCCACATCCATCCAGATGGGTAGAAGTGGAGAAGCGGAGATGGGCAGAGAGGTGAGGAAACATGTAGAGACACTGTGTGGCATGGAGATCACACAGCCCAGGGTTCCAGCACCAGGAAGATAAATCCCTATAAATTCTGGCTATAAAAACCAGTGGGAGCTGGGGCAGAGGAAGAAACTGCCAGATTTTCAAGAGACTATGCTTAAAAGGCCTACATGGACTTAAAACATTCTCAGACCTATCCCCCCTCTGGGATTCAGCACCAGGGCAACAGCTGGAAGGGTACCAGTCACTCAGTACAAGTGCCAGACAAACCTCTAGAAGGCAGGCAGTGGCACTGTCCCTTC